AACAATAACATACATATTCAAACACATAATACAATAACACAAACAACAACATTTATCAAGATACCTCAACAATAACATTATCAACATACCTTAACAAAAACATAAACATATTTGAACAAAAATTTCTAAAATAAAACAAACAACATACCTAAACAAAATACAACACCATACAAAAACATACCTCAAACAATATACCTATTCAAAGACATAATACAATAAAATCAAAATATCGCATGCCAACACAAATCAAACAAACAAACTGCTAGCGCAGAGCACAATGATTGCAATCAAAACGAAATTCAAATAAACATAATGCAACATATCGTATCATAGTGTAAATAATGTCACATGAAGAAACACAAAGTGGTGAAAGAAAACATGAATTGACGCTATACCAAACTACCAAAAGTGTGTACAAATTTAAGTTAAACCCCACGACAACAAAATCAAAATGTCGCACGTAAACAAAAAAAAAAACCAGCCAACAAACCGCTAACGCAAAAATGTGATCTTCGTAATTAAACAAAAGGCATGTAACACAACACTAACAAACAAAACCAAACTGAATACACGTAATATGCTCGGTTCCAATTTTGGCACAATAATAAATAACAAACAACAACGCATATACTAAATATTTTTCATTGTTACATCAAAAAGAAAATTCAGCAAAGTCAGGACAAATAAATCATTTTGAACTTGCGAATCGTTCCGATTTCAACACGATGAAAACAAAGAACAACAGCACAATCACAACAAAAAAATATTTCAATATTATATCATTACATAATCGAGAAAAGTTCCGCATACACAGCGAAACTGAACACAATCGACAATTGAAATTTAAATACATAATAAAATAGCATAAGCACAACACCACAAAAGAATATTCGAAACCAAAACGTTACCAAAAAAGTTACTTTGATATTGCTTCTTCTCTTCCTTTGTGTTGCCAGCGATGGTGTCACTGAGTTTGATGAAGGAAATGGCAAAAGAGGGTGAAGGAAAAGGGTGACTCACTTGTGTTCTTCGCATGAGGAGGTTGGTGGTTGTCGCAAATGGTGAGATCAAAGTGTGGGAGAAGTTTTAGTGGCTTGAAGATATGGAGAAAAAAGAAGGAGGTGTATGGAATGTTGTTCGCGATCGAAATCTATTAGAAAGTGAGGTTGTTGTTGGTGGTTAATGGTGGCTGGAAGGAGTTCGTTTGTGGTGGTGTTCTGGCGAGATACTTGAGGTTGAGGGAGTGAGTTTTTGTTATTGAAGTGAGTTGTGTAAACGAGTCGTGAAAGAAGTGTGTGATGAAGCTCCCCAGAAAAAGGAGGAAATGGTGGTTGGCCAAAAGTTAGTGAGCAGGACGGAGGAAGTATGTATCACATATGTAATGTGTTTGTAAGATGGTGATGATGAAGGGGGGGAGATGTATGGTGTGTATGAAGTGTGAGAGTGAAGAGAGAGTAGGTTGGTGAGAGGATGAGTAGACGTGGAAATATGAAGTGAGGGTGAAAAGATGTATGGTGTGTATGCTGAATAGCGAGGGAAGAAAAAACTAAGTCCATTGTGAGATTAAAAGAAGAAACTCACATCTACTTCCATTTTTTTAAAACTTTTTTAAATTGTGAGATGTGGAGTGATGTCAATGTTTGGTGCGGGTGATATATAATTTGCATTAACCAATAGTTAGATTATATAGTAGGCATATTAGGGTTGCAATTTTTATTTAATCCTAATAATACTCTTAGATAAGTTTGAGTGATCAAATTGAGTTTAAAAATGATGAAACAAAATCACAATATTTTTTAATAAAAAATAAGTTAATTCAATTTATTTAGTTATTCTTATTTATTTTTCTCAATTATTTTGATTAAAATACAAAACAAAAATGAATAAAAATTGAACGCGCAAGTGTGCAGAAAAAATAAATGAATGCACTAAAATAATCTATGCAAAATATAGTTTAGTAAAACAGGCCCTTGCGAATTAAATCTTACAATCAAAAATACCCAGAAGAAAAGGCTCAGAATGATCAAGATGTGAACGCGCACGGATGCGAAAAAATAAAATGAGCACATCGGATTAAACTTAGGGTAATATAGATCAATAAAATAGACAGTTGCATGCTTAAACCATAAAACATTGTTCATTGATTTTACGTGGGTTGAGAAATCGGTTCAATCAGTCTGTTTGTAAAATTGAAATTTATTTTGGACAAAACAAAATAAAGTTGGTTGCATGAAAATTTAAAGTCCTTCGACAAAGTTGGGGTATGACACCAAGCTGCATGGCAATAAATCTGTAAAGGCCTGAATTTCTAAAGGTCAACTAGAACCTCATAAAGGAAAACATCATTCCTCGGGATACTCCCATTAGCCGCAGCTAAAAAAAATTCCACCCTCTACCGAAGGACTCATGCCTAAGGGACTGTGTAGTGTTATATTTGCAAATAACCTTGTAAAGGGCGATAGCTTGAGACGACACTAGGAAATGGCAACGACGTGAGGCCGCCTAAAGGAAGGTATCATCTCACTCTTAGGTTTTCCTCACTTCTAGAGAGAAGAAACATGAGATAAGACGTGTCTTGGATAAAGAGAAAGTTATAATCGTTACTCACTCACGTCTCCCTTAGAAATAGGGATTCAACTGTCCACCTTTTGACTAGGTGGGTGACGACCTTTCCCGATGAAACCCTAGGGATAAGGAACTCTTATAAATACATTATACATCAAGGGGATAAGGACAAATCCTTAAGTCATACACACTTACTACTACTCAGAGAGCTTCACGCTCCTAGTAACCTTAACATCGTCAATCTAACCCTCCATCTGCAACCCAACAGTGATAGCTTTCAACAGGACCTCTCACCTCACATGATTCGGTCCCTTAAATAGCCTCAAAAACCCCTTATATTAGGATACTCATCGCCGTGAGCTAACCCTCACCCCTAAATGTGCAATATACCTACTAAAGCCTTTGAGTCTCCTTGCCCTTGTAGGCGGAACGCACACACCTGTACTTTTTGGACAATACATATTCCATTTGGTGGAGAGACTTGAGAGTGCTAGGAATTAAATAAGTAGTGTCATACCCCAAATTTGTCCTACCTGTATTACCTTCATTTGTACATCCGCCTACTAATCAGCACTAAAAAAAAAGAAATGTGTCGCTTCTGCTTTACTTGTCTGGACCGAGAGGATCACAAGAGGAAGTAAATGAAATCGAGATGCTTATTGGAGGTCCATAGTAAATGCGTGTGTAGTAAGGAGAGTTTTGGATTTAATTTGTGCCCAAACAAGTTAAGGTTGATCCACCTGTAAGTTGTCAATATCTTGTGTTGTTTCAAATGAAAAGGTAAGATTGAAGTGATTGAAAACCATCAAAGACCATATCATGTTCAGTTGGGGTCAATATGGAATCATCTTAAAATTAAATCATGGCTTCGTTTGTTTTTATAAGAAATGGATCAACCATGTAGAGTTGATTCAAGGTTTTTTATGCGTTGCAAGCTTGGAAGAGTTCACAAATGATAAAAAGGATTGTCGAAGATTTTTTTTTCTCAAGTTCATTATTCACATAAAAAGCCCATAACACATTTCAAAGTCCATTACAAGATCCTACAATTACAAGCCCGTATGTTTACAATCAAATGAAAAGAAAAGAAAAAAAACCATTTCAATTTTACAATTGCTACATACAAGGATGAAAGCTCCCAAATTTGTTCATTACACTATTACACAGGATAATGCCAGAAGAAGAAAAATCCCAACAATTTTCTGAAGTATCATAAGCTCACGGGAAGTCTAAAGCTAGTCTAAAAAGCAAAAAAAAGAAAGTTCTTCCCAAATTAATGGAACTACCTCAAGAGAGAAATCTAGGTTCTAGGGATTATTAAACTAGTTTCTGAGTTTGGAAAACAAGTGTTGCTGGCAGAAGGTAATGAAAGGGATTCTGAGATGAATTTGATCCCGTCTTCCAAAGTGGGCAGAATTTCAGCTCGTGTTTAATACACTGCTGGGTTTGCCAACCCTGATATCAGTCTTGAAACTTCAGAAAACAACTCTTCTACTTTGTATGACAACTTAAGAATAAGTTCTGTAATGCTGCCGTAACGGTTCGCAACCATTAATTCGCACAACCAAACCACCACTTTCCGCACAGCCCACGTCTCCATATTGAAGTCTCAGCATGTGACCTGTACAAAAAAAAACAGGAATCTTAAAGCATAGCTTGAAGAAGTTGTTGCGGAAGCGACAAAGTCAAAAGACCACACTAGAATCGTTCTTACGAAGCGGCTGTGACACCACGCCAACAAACAACCAACAACGGCACATTAAAAGCTTTTATGAAAGAGTTGTCCGCGTCGTACAACGCCAGGCAGCACCAACGGTCAATTTCACAGCAGCTCACGACACCAATACTTGTACGATCACTACACAGCACACGCATAACAGTTGCAGGACCGTGGCTCATATGTGTGCTCCAACGATACAGCTCAGCTGCAAAACACGCCTTCAGCATACCGCTAACCAGCACCAAATTGGCTCCTGCGTCAGCTCGTGATTCACCTGCACGGGCAACAACAAAAATTGTAACTCGAATTCAATTGGAAACAATACGGAAAATAGATAAAATTTGATGAAAAGAGATGAAAGGAGAAGGTTGAATGGAGAGAAGAATTGATATGGAGAATGACAAGACAGAAATAGGCTTCACCGGCTTGAGTTGGTAGAGGATATTGTTCGAAGTTGTGGCTCGGTCAGTTGCGTGTTACGTTATTCCCTGCGCATCCAAATTTCACCTCTACCGACAGCATGCCACAAATTTTATGACCTGCATCAAGAACTCCCATTTATAAGTCATAATTTCCAAATAATAAACAACACAAGAACACAGAAAAAAAAGTAGAATTGATTCTAGTTGAAGCTTTGAAGTGTAACTTTTTTTCGGCGTTGGTCGATACTAATTTTGGAACTTGGATTAAGGAGCAAAGGAAGAGTGGTCTAAAGATGGGTTCTTTATGTGATTTTTGTGGAGACCAGAGATCCTTGGTGTACTGCCGCTCCGACGCTGCTTCCTTATGTTTGTCGTGTGATCGAAATGTTCATTCCGCTAATGCACTTTCTAAGTGTCATTCAAGAACACTCGTATGCGAGAAGTGTAATTTACAACCTGCATATGTGAGGTGTGTTGAAGAGAAAGTTTCATTTTGTCAGAATTGTGATTGGTCGGCTCATGGTACTGATCCATCTTCTTCAACACACAAACGACAATCAATCAATTGCTACTCTGGCTGTCCTTCGGCTTCCGAGCTTTCTTCTATATGGCCCTTTTCCTCGGACATCCCTTCTACGGGCGAAGCATGTGAGCAGAAACTCGGTTTGATGAGCATTAATGAGAACTGCGATAATAAAGCTCGGGTTTCTCCAGAGAGCAAGAACGTGTCTGGCTCAGCTCAAGTCGCCGATCTACCCAGCAAGGATAAGTCTGCAGCCGGCAAATCTTCAGTAACCGAGTCACGTGCAGAACCTCGTATTCTTGACCAGCCACCTCAACCTTCCGATGAATGTATGCCCAAGTTACAATGTCTTGGTAGTATGGCATCTGCACTTTGTGAAGATGATAATTTGTACGACGGTTTCAACATAGATGATATGGATCTTGAACTTGAGAACTATAAGGAAGTTTTTTCTTATGCTCTCAATAACTCCGAAGAGTTTTTCGAAAAGGGCAGTATTGATAGCTTATTTGAGAGAAAAGATATGTCTGCTAGTGCTGGTGATTCCAATTGCCGGGGCGCTATTGCAGCTTCTTCAGACTCAATGTTAAGTACTAAAACTGAACCAATACTTTACTTTACGGAAATGCAATCCCAATCAAACGTTTCATTTTCCGGCGTTATCAACAGTGCTAGTGCTAGTGACAACCAAGAGTGCGGCGGTGTTTCTTCAATGCTTCTCACGGGGGAGCCTCCCTGGTGTCCTCCTTGCCCTGAAAATTCTATTCAATCTGTTAACCGCAGCAATGCTGTCATGCGCTATAAGGAAAAGAAAAAGAATCGGAAGTTTGATAAGAAAGTAAGGTATGCTTCTCGGAAGGCTAGAGCCGATGTCAGAAAACGTGTGAAGGGCCGGTTTGTTAAAGCTGGTGAAACATTCGACTATGATCCTTTAAGCGAAACCAGAAGCTGTTAAGTGTTATTCGAAAGTACCTTTTTGAATCACATGGTAGCAAAGCTAATTTCTGGAGGATCGTGGTTATGTTGCCGCGGTTGGAAATGTTTCACGCCCACAAATACTGCATCTAAAACATAACGACAATCCTGAAAAATATTTGAAAACAAGGCCATCAGCATAAAGGAAATAGTCATACTTTATATAATTACAGATCAAATTGAAGGCCATTTGCCACAGTAAAAGTAAAGAAAAGAGGGAGTTACCGCAGTGAAAAGTAATTGAAGATATTACCTCACTACAGACAAAAGAAACTGTACTACCTCACCTCAAGCCTCTGCATACTCTCTCCATATATAATTGTGTGAGAAGTGACAGCAGAGGAGGAGGGGGGAGCCTCCAAACCCTAGTCACAAAACCCAGCAGCCTCCAAATGAAACCCTAATCCTCCTCCAACCATCAACACTTCAACACAAACCCAATCTGTTTCCAACACTCCAAACAACAGGATACAACTACAACATAACCATCACAAGTCATTGTTCTCAAGAGATATCTGCACAATCTCACACTGCTTCCACAAGAGGAGAAAATAACTGAAAAATTCATTTTTCCATTTCATACTTACCACATACAAACACACTTTTCTCTGCTAAACCATATTCTCGAGCATCGTTCTTCAGCAAAATCCAGAAAAAACCTCGCCTCACTCAGAAATCCACTCTTCAAAATCCAAATCTCCAAAGCCCAGATTCAACCTCCAAAACGAATAAACGCATCACCTCGCGAAACTTCCGAATCCCTTTCCATCAACACTTTCTGCTTCATCATCATCCTCCTTAGCCTCTTTCATCATTTACCTCATAAAAAACCAACCACTTTCATTCTTCTAACTTAACCCCCACTGCAAATAACAGAGTATCAGACAGAAGAAGAGAAAGAAATGAATATCACTACAGAACTCAGAAAAACAGGGTAAGAGTTTTACCTCAAATGTCATGCCATGGAAGCTCTGTTGACATTACCGTCAGTATGTTCATCACAGCGAGTTGTTCGCATCAATGTTGAGAACCTTTCAACAACCATCCAAGCCATAACTGTACTTCCATCAAACATGTGGTAGGCGAGATTGTAAACACCATAAACAAACGCCCAAATTCACAACCTAGAACACCATCCCTTCCATTCATATTCTTCTTCATCTCCTTCACACCAACTTCATTTTGAATCCATAACAGCATCTTTCCTCGTAACTTCTCAACTCCATTTTCTTCTCGCGAGAACTCCTGTCGTTGGGTTCGGTGTTACTTCTCAACTTCTCACTTCAGATACCGTAGAAAGAATCCCATAACTCGACAATCAACCACCAACCTCCAATCCACTCAAACATCTCTACACAACAGAGTGAGAAGAGATGAAGGAGAGAGTTCGAAACACAAAAAGACGAAATCAAAAATGAATCCAAATTGAGAACGGCGTGGCTTAAACCTGGGCGAGACACGATTGAGCAAGAGTGTGACGAGTTTACACGAAGGCGGAGATGATTCACCATGTTGATTATTGTTGATCGACGGCTTCTTTTTGTCTGTAAGGTATGAAATGCTTCGTTTTATTCAGTAGTTGTGTGGTTACGCTTGATGATGTTTCTCCTGGAATTAAACGGATAAGTTTCCTTTGTGTGCTTCGAAGAAAAGACCTTATGACCATATTTCCCTTGGAGAGATAGGCTTCAGGCCTGTTTGGTCCGTATCCACATAATCTCCCCTTTCTTTTCATTTTTATTTTCATTATATATTATTATTATTATTATTATTATCTTGTATATTTATTTTGTAAATTATCTTTTTCTAAAAAAAAACTGTTTTGTTTATTTTATATATATATATTTTAATATTATATATGTTGTTAGAACTTTATATTACTTTCTAGTTTATATTAAAGTTGTTATATCATATTTTATGTTATAGTTTTTTTTAGAATTTTATTTCAATTTACATTTAGAAGTTTATAGCATTTTATTTCGCGTTTATTATTGGGCATTTTGTCCCATTTTCTGTTTAGGTCGATGACGAGACCTCCGTAATTCATTACCAGTCAAATTATTGATAAGTAATGTTGGATCTGAGACCACTTCTTTTCTCTCTTCATTACTTGTCCCGACTCGATTCAAAAACTTTGTCAAACAATTTTTCAAAATCAAATTATCTTTGTATTGAATTAAAAAGAGGGGATTAAGTGTAGACTTTCTTCCTCTCCGAGTGTTGGGATACCCACTGTAGTGAGGGTGGTTCCGACACTCGTCTTTCAATACGAAGACGCTTCCCATCCATTTTCAAATCTCATCTCCTTAAAATCAATTCCTTGTATTGAATTAAAAAAGAGAGGATTGGGTGTAGACCTCTTCTTCTTCGAGCGTAGGGATGCCCACTGTAGTGAGGGTGGTCTCGATGCTCGTCTGTCAATACAAAGACGCTTCCAACATTTCCTCATAAAACCTCGGTCCTGTACCGAGTACACTTGCAATAATAAATTGATTTCTCTTTGTATCGAATTAAAGAGAGAAGATTAGGTGTAGACCTCTTCTTCTTCGAGTGTTGGGATGCCCACTGTAGTGAGGGTGGTCTCGACACTCGTCTTTCAATACGAAGACGCGACTTTATCCACCATCTCGCTTTCACAACTTCATCCCGCAACCCTTGTCACCTAAAACCTCGGTCCTGTACCGAGTGCATTTTCAAATCTTTTCATAACAAAAACTTGAATGGTCGTGGAGTGGTTAGGCGTAGGCCTTCTCCTATCCCGAGTGCTGACGTTTACCGTAGGGTTCTCTGTCGCAAAGCACTTACCATTCAAAACCAAAAACATCTTTAATAAGAGAACGAAGTTCTCTTTGCATTGAATTAAAGAGAGAGGATTGGGTGTAGACCTCTTCTTCTCCGAGCGTAGGGATGCCCACTGTAGTGAGGGTGGTTTCGACGCTCGTCTTTCAATACGAAGACGCCTCGTTCGCCACACCCTTTTATAACAAAAACTTTGAGATAAAGAATTGGATACTACCCGTAGGGGTTACTATCCAAGGACCTATCTCGCCCCTAAAAAACAATCCAACCAATCAAACGTGACACCTTACCTCGCATGGCGAAAACCAGTCTCCCAAAGGATATGTTACGTCCGTTCTACCGCAAACAGGTACGCATAAGTCTCCAAACGAGCGAGCAGCAAAATACCTAAACTGCTAGAATGCGCACGATAACATCATCCCCAAACACACCGGTTATCCGCACCGTAGGTACGAACTACGTTGCTCTGATTTCTCTTGCATGTTGAGAATACGTAGGCATAGGATTGCAATATCCTAGCGAGCACCCTTTTTCTTTTTCACCCTTTCCCAGAAAGGCATGCTACGTCCGTTCTACCGCAAACAGGTAACGCCTAAGTCTCCAACGAGCGAGCAGCAAAACACCTAACTGCTAGAACGCGCATGATAGCATCATCCATAAAAAACATCAACAAACCGTAGGCTGAACTACGGCTGCTCTGATTCTTTACTTTTTCAAGTAAAGATACGTAGGCACAAGGGCCACAATCCTTGCCGAGCACATTCCCCCCATATCTGTAGTTCCCCGAACTACGTCGACTCTGAATTTCTCATATCTTATGAGAATACGTAGGCCTAGGACCGCGAAGTCCTACCGAGTCTGTTCTATCTCCTTTCTCCCCCATTATCTCTCTATCCCTCCTTTCCTCGTTTCTAAACCCTTCTCTCTATCTTTTTAGAACACTCTTTTTATAGCATAATACTTAAGCAAATATATTCACACATCGACAAACAAAAGGTTCCCATCGAGTACGATGGATGCGAGGGGTGCTAATACCTTCCCCTTGCATAACCGGCTTCCGAACCCGTTCTTGGTCGCGAGACCATCTTATCCTTTTCTTTCTTAAGGTTTTCTCGATATTTTCCTTTCCCCTCATGGGATAAATAAAGTTCGGTGGCGACTCTTCTGTCTATCTTTTTCGCCTCCCCGTCGTTGCACGATGCATTTTTCGAGTAGCGACAGATGGAGACTCTGCTGGGGACCCCTAGCGAGCCAAGCCTATTTTGTTTGTCGTGTTTATGATTCTATTTGCCTATGCTTTGATTCTCTAACCTGTTGGGTTTATTGGATGGTTTGTGAGATAAAGCTTTCTACCCGAGCTTTCGAGTATACACTAAGATTAGGAGGTGGTTTCTTTCTGATTTACGAGACTTAGGACTCGTTGAGTTGGATCGAATCCCACCGCTCAGATGAGACCCCGTTGGAATGATTATGTCTTACGTGTAGTCGTAATGACATCTTTATTTCCGACGTGGGAGTCCGCGACTCTGAGGACCTTTGTAGAACCTTATTCCAAAGGTTGCTAAGACATGACTCTGTGTTCATCCTTTGAAGGGATTACCGTCTTACGAGTAGTCGTTATGATGGAAAACTTTCGAGGGTTAGTACATATGACTTTGTTTAAAAGCCTTTGGGATACCCTCTTATAAACCAATAGATAACCTACCCGATGGGAGAGATGTTTTTTGTTGTTTTGCAGGACCTATGACTTTGATCTCGCTATTGTTCTTTCATCATGTGCTCATTACATTACATTTGCATAAGCATCTCTGCATCATTTCTTGCATTCCTTACAACCCGATCTTACACGCCGCTTACCCTTTCAGAAAGAGTAAAGCAAGCTGACTTCACGGCATCGGTATAACACAAGGAATAGCCAGAAGAGAATCATGGATCAGATAGAGCAAGACCAGGCTACTATGAGGAGCGAGATGCTAGGCATGAAAACGCAGATGGATCAACTCATGGAGGTGATTCAGAATATGGCCAGGAGTCAAGAGGAGATGAGACAAGCAGCAGAGAGGAACGCTAATCAAACTTCGGCTGGTGCAATTCCCAATGCAAATGGTGCAATTCCAATTCCTGTTGATGCCACCCCAACCCCTGTTGGGGCAATTCCTACTTCTGCCGGCGCCGTACCTA